GTGATGTCAATTAGTAGAATGTCACTAACCACTAAGATAATAACACACATAGCTTATATTTATTTGGGTTGATGAGCTGTATGCCAAGGTCCGGCATTCCTTGTGGAGAAAGTCGGAAATCAATGAACGAAGAGAGTCTTTTTGAGTATAGGTATATGAAAATGTAACCATGAGCTTTATAATGAAGGCAATGATTCTTCGTTTTTCCTAATAGTATGTGAAGAAGTGGTTTTAGATATTACCCTTTGCTCAACTTTCTCTCTTTAGTGATCAATGCCTGGAGAGTCTCAACCATCATGTTTTTCCCTTCATCGTGTTTGTGGTGAATATTCTCAGATTAACTAAGCAGTCTCAACGCAATCCTAGGACCGCAAACTGGGATACATTCAGTAGGTTCAGTAGTAAAATTTAAAATATTCCGGTTCCAATTAATTCGATTAGGGAATAGGGTTACCCAATTAATATAAAATATCCTATCTAACTTTGAATTATTATGCCCTTGATGACAGATGTTGTATGCTATATTCCTGTAGAGTTCAGAAATCACAGGTTGCGAAGATTTGAAATTCTAATTGTCAACCAAACCATGAAGTAAGTAAGTAGTCAATTATTCTATATGCTAACATATATGTGTACTACTTAATGCGAAGAGCAAATTATATTTACATCAAAGAGTATGTGTATATTGATTAAAATTAAAACCACATACAATATATTTATAATCTGCAACACCAAACCACTGGCAACTTTATTTCAAAAGGGCAAATAATTACAATAAGAAAGAAACTAAACCGTATTATTTGTCCATTTGAATCAATATCCATCTTCAAAGCAGCATAAGTAATGACTCCACTCATCCACTCATAACTGTTATGATTACTTTATCTATGCCTTTGTTTGGGCGATACATCTTCTTTTACCTATTTGCCGACAGTTCGATTGAGATGTACGATATCTTCAAAATATTGTGCATCATTTTAAGTAAAAGATGCAACGTAATAAATAATTTGCATAAAACAAAACAAAACAAAACAAAAAAAGCAGAAGAAAAAGTTTGAACCAGGCACAATCGAATCATTAAAAGGGATCGATTGGAAAGTGTTCATTGCTGGGAGCAAAGTAGCTCCCCATTTTCAATGCAACAATAAAAATATAAGAACGGAAAATAAAATTTTTGCTTCATATCTCATGCAGTATGTAGATAAATAGACAGATAGATATGTGTACTTAGGCTAAATTGTACAGATAGTCATCTACTAATATAAAATGTAGCTTGTGCGGAGTAGATTTAGTGATCAATAAATTTCGAGTTCGCACAAACTTGTACTGCACTTCAGTCATAAAGTCTAACAATATTGTAAGTTCACTGCTGGAAGGCATGGTGGGTGCTAAAGCAGCAACGGACAAGTCCAACTAGAACTGCAAACTCAGATAACTGACCGAAAGATTTCAACTATCCATTCATCTGTCGCGTACTTTGGTTTTGCCTAAATTATTGGGCACCGATGTTTCGTTTGGTACGTGATTCAACGCCAAAGTATACGTTGTGCAGTTGATCGAACAGCCAAAAACAAAAAAAAATAAACATTTTCTGGTTATCATTCTTCATTTCTTTAATATATATTTATTTTTATATTGCGGTGTGGACAGCTTAGCGGATGGTTTAGTAAAATTAGTGTTGTTAAAATTGAAATGGTTACTTTTTACTGAAAAAGATTTCTGTGTTGGTATCACCATAACGATCAATGTCTTGATCTCTTACAGCACTTAGTTATATGAAATTTCAACTATGTTGTCAACTGTGCTAGCAGTTGAAAACTGAAGATCAAGAAGTTGGTTATTGAACATTTGACATAAATATACTACGGTTTCTTGTTAAATTTTCTAGTTGAATTGATATTTTCGAAAGAATATATTAAAGTTTTTTTATATATTTATACTCAGTCCCAAACACTGAACCAAAATTGCTTTGAACTGCAGGATAATACTCAATTTAACTTTATATCTTAAATTTGTAATTGTTTGGTCATTGGGCTGTACTTTATTTTTTCCATTCTGCAAAAAATATATCAATGAAATTTACTCAGTTAACAATTAACAGAGAACAGATGCTAATTTCAAAATTTAATCAAACATCACGATGTAAACACTCTTGAGTAAATTTTCTTTTAACTATCTCGATAACCGATACAAAGACTTGAGTATTGAAGGTGTAGAAAAGTATATCAGGGACAGAGCGCTTAAAATGTCTAATTCTGTGGATACTCATTCTTATTTAGAATTTCATTCTCTTAGATTAAATGCAATATATATATTCCGTCAAAGATATGCTTAGATTTAAACTATATTTCAGTAAATTTACCAGATCAATCAAAACTCAATGGATCATTGACATTATTGAGTAAAAGTACTTTAGACGCTTACTTGCATTTCATCAAGCAAAGAAGAAGAGAAAGATAACCGGTTCACAAATGCGCATCACTAATATACGGCTAAGCGCACACAAAAATTTGAAATTTCATATCGATTGCGGACGGGCGCGCGCTTGCCAGCCTTAATTTGTAAAAAAATATTTATTCGCCTTAATAGACATCAACACGTCCCAAAGACGCATATTTCTTGTTTTGCTTTTTACCGCAAACTTGTGTTATTGTTTGCATTTTTTAATACTCAGCTCGGTGTTTTCTTTTTCCGCTACGACTGACTGCAGTACAAGCGAAACGCCCATTTTGGACACAACCCCCACCAGCAGCGAAATGATTTGGACACTGAAAAAATTTTAAAATATTAAAATTTTTTCAGTGTCCAATATCGACGGCACTTCATAAATCTTTACGGAGCTGCTCTACTTGCGCTGCAGCACTGGTACAAGATCAAATCCGTTCTTATGATCGTGGGATATTTCATTTGATACGATGCACATTAAAGTCGCTACTACGAGTATAGCAATTGCGCATGCGTAAAGGAGGGCCCAGGTTGACTGACTACCTTTGCGGTGTGCTCATTCCACCACGTTGTGGTCGGCATTGCAGGTGATAGATAACTAAGGGCTCTGATGCTAATGTGATTACAGCCTTTAAGTTTATAAACATAATTTGAGCCGTTGATCACTTTACTTCTGCTCTTCACGGGCTGCACACAGCCTTTGGAATACCAAATATGCGCTATGCGGGTTCGGTTATTGTGCCAGAATTTTACTACAGCAGCGGCGGCAATTATGGCACAGCAGCTTTTTGATTTCAATGTTGTTAAAAAAAGCATTGCTCTTTTAGGGTTCACTTTTCGATTTATTATTTTTATTTGTGAATTTTTCATTCTTGTGCCTTTCTTGCATTTTTTTCAATTTCTTAAGATGCGGTGAAGTTCTTTAGTTTCATAGCAATCATTTTGGGGAATCACCTTTTGTTGTCGAACTGTCTTGTATAACAGGGATTTGTGTAAATTGACAGTCAACTTCTTTTTTTTACAGTGGGTGAAATAATACAAATAGAATAGTTTATATAATTTTAAAGGGAATAGTGTTAACCGGATGCAGTTTCCAACAGAAATATTTTGATTTATAGATTTATAACAATAGCTACATATATCAATATGTTCTTTTCCAGTTTCGTACACTAAGTGCGGTTAGTGCTTTCTGCTTACTTTTTTCTTGACTTGATTACTCCACCGGAGACATAGTCTATCTTTACACCTTCTTCTTCCAATTATTGCTTCAAAACCTTTTTTTGGTAAAGAATCTTTCTTCATTTTCATAAAATGACTAAGCCAGCAAAACCACTGTATTTAAATCAATATCATGATTAAGATGGTATCGTTCGAGGAACACTCGAATGTAGTCATCGTCATCTAGTAGAGGACCAAACTTCCGGTGCTACTTTATCATTCTGTGATATCGTCTATGCTTCTGCGCTATGAGGGATCTATAGAGCATAAGTTTTGTCTACCGAAAGTAAGTTTCACATCTTAATTGCCTACTGAGCCCATAATAGTACTTATAGGTGCAATTGTGATTCTACGTTTGATCTCCAGACTAACATCGTTCGTGTTTGTTACCGCGGTGCCAAGGTAGATGAAATACTTGATAGATTCGAAACTATCCACTAGCTCGGCATTCGTGCGATACACATTTCTACCAGAAACCGACATATACCGCTACGTCCATATTCGCAGATTTCTTTTTTTGGTACCCGCAAAGGCAGCTGTAACATCACCCTTGATTACTGAGTAAAGAGCAATGACATTCAGTAGAAATAATAGGGAAATTCTTTTTAGAAATCACGTACTCCTTATAGAAATAAAAATTAAATAATTACATAAAGCTTATTAAGTAATACTGATTCTTAAGATAAAATAAATTATTATAGTATGATAACGTTAATATTCCACTTATATCATTAGTTGTGTATACTTTTGTAATTCAATAACATTGAAGATGGGGCAAAATATCTGTGTAAATCTATACATCTATATAAACTGTATATAGATATGTATCTATATGTATCTATATAAACTATAATTTTTGTTTGAACCTAATTGATAAAATTTTAGTTTCTATTTAAATAAATTTCTTTATAATATTTAATATAATATACAAAGCCGGAACAAGGCTCAAGACGCGTCTCAAATAGCCTCTCTTGAGTTAACGTCAACCTCAACCTTCCCGCGGTGTTCCCTGTTTTCACTAATGAGGCTCTGGCGACCGAGTGTTCAGCGGGATATCTGAACTCTTCCATCTGCTGTCTAGAGGAAATGCTAGCTGCACATTTACATCATGGCAGGATCGGAGGCCAAATGGTGATTGACGAAATTAAAGAAAGGTAGCAGCCCTACCACCGATCTTGGCAGCTATAGGTTAATCACTCGTGGCGGCTGAAAAACATTAGATTCAAGTATTCACAAGAAATAGAAACCGGCCTGACCAAAACGATACCGACTTAAGGAATGTAAAAAGGACAAGATTTGGACAATGGAACGTGCGAACTCTGTTTCAAGCAGGAAAAATGGCTACGTTAGCCGCTGAATGCGATAGGTTTAAAATAGACGTAATTGGCATTAGCGAAGTCAGATGGAATGGTACAGGTGAATTCACAAACCAAAAGGGAGGTGTACTTATGTACTCCGGCATGCCCGACGAACAAGACCCTCACATCCGAGGCGTTGCAGTTTACGTAAGAAAAAATGTTAAGCACTCAATCTTATGCTGGAAAGCTATATCCGAAAGAATAATAGTAGTACGTTTTCGCGCAAAGAAATTCAATATGTCTCTAGTACAATGCTATGCTCCAACAGAAGATAGTCCACTTGACCAAAAAGAAGTTTTTTACAGTGCGCTAGAAAGAACGCTCTCTGAAATTCCTAGAACCGATGTAATTATTCTTATGGGCGATTTCAATGCCCAAATTGGCGGAAATAACTCAGAGTATCGAACTGTAATGGGTTCTCATGGTATTGGAACATGTAACGAGAATGGGGAGCTGTTTTTGGAACTTTGTATGAATTATGATCTCAGGATTGGAGGATCCCTATTTCCTCATAAAACGTGTCACAAGGTCACTTGGAAGTCCCCTGCTGGCAACTTCGAAAGTCAAATTGATCATATCTGCATTTCAAAACGATGGAGTAAAGTTCTATGTGATGTCAGAAACAAAAGAAGCGCTGATATCGACAGTGACCACTATTTAGTGGTGGCCGAACTGAAATTTAATATACCTAAACATAGGTATGAACACCCGCAGCATACACGGCGCACGTATAATACCACAAAGCTTAATGTTGGAGCGGTAAAGAATGAAATGATCGAACGTATTAACAACGTCAGTTTGATGGAGGATGCTTCTATTGAGGAAACGTGGCTTCATATTAAAACAAATCTCGAAGAGATCTGCAAGGACACACTGGGCTACCGTAAAAACGAGCAAAACGAATGGTTGTCGGCAAACTCTTGGGAGCTCATTGCTCAAAGAAGGTGCGTTAAAACGAAAATGTTAAGCGAGGCAGATCCGTTTAAAAAAGCCGAATACAACATAACGTACAGAAGTCTCAGTAGGCAGATCAAGAAAGCAGTCAAAAGCGACAAGAGAAACTATTACGTTGAACTAAGCATGAAAGCGCAAGCAGCATCAGAAAAGGGCGACATGAAGGAGCTGTTTAAGTTAACTAAACAACTAGGTGGAAAATCTTTCCAAAGCAGCGCTCCAATTGAAAATGAAAACGGACAGCTGGTGTTTGCTAAGAACGAGCAGGCAGAAGTATGGAAAAGACATTTTGAGAAAACCCTAAATATCATACACAACGAAAGTGGCGAGCTCACAATACGAAGACATCTAAATCCTAACAGATTTAGAGTGCGACAGGGTTGCGCCCTCTCACCGTTACTGTTTATCACAGTGCTAGACGTCGTTTTAGAAGCTGTAGAAGAAAGCCCAATCGGCATTGGTTGGAAGCTGAATCAAAAGCTTGGTCATCTTGAATATGCAGACGATGTAGTATTGTTAACAAACAGACACACTGATATGCAAACTCTTGTTAATAACGTATGTGAGCAGTCATATAAAGTCGGCCTAAAAATTAACGCCTCTAAGACAAAAACAATGAGAACAAAAGCAAGCAATCAATCGCCCATCCTTCTGTACGATCAAAACATTGAAGACGTGCAGGAACTCGAATACCTGGGGAGTATAGTCAACAGCGAGGGTGGCACGTCAAAGGACATCGGCAGTAGAGTGAAAAAGGGAAATGGCTCTTTCGCATCGCTTAACAAAATCTGGAAAGCCAACAATGTAAGCGTCGAAACTAAAACCAGAATATTCAACGCCTGCGTCAAATCGACATTATTATATGGGTGCGAAATATGGTCGCTTACGAGGGCCTCGACTCAGAAGAAACAATCCTTTGTAAATAGAAGCCTGCCGCGTATTCTGAACATATGGTGGCCTGCAAGAGTCTCCAACGAAGTGCTATGGCAGCGTACCAAACAAAAGCCAATAGAGAAAGAAATTTTGAGACGCAAATATGGCTGGCTCGGCCACACACTTAGAAAACCGACAGATGCAATTGCCCACGCAGTCATGGAATGGAACCCGCAAGGAGTAAGGAGACGAGGGCGTCCCAAAACCACCTGGCGAAGAACAGTGGCAGCAGAAACAAGCAAATCCTTTAACCAGTTACGTTTTACTGCCAGAAACAGAGAGGAATGGAAGAAGTTTATAAATATTATTTGTGAATAGACTAAGTTCTAATTTTTAAATTTTTAATTTAATTTTTATAATGAAGAACATGTCTTAATAATAATAATAATACAAAGCCGGACAAAAAAAAAATACATATTTTTTTGTTAAAATTTGAACACATAAAATCTGGATCTGTTCCACTGCTTATTGGTCAAGCAGGAGCAATAGATTAATTTTTGACTAAAGATTCACTTTTAGTCACTTTTTTAAACGTAAAGAATTAAATAAAAGCAGATCGCTGCAAACTTCAAGTGATTTTATAATCCTTAATGGAATTCCTCCAATTTTGTTGAAATTTGATTTTCTTAAGCTTTTGTGTTTCTTTGCGGAATGGTTTATTTTGTTGCTACAATACCTGGCTATAATGCCACCAACCCACCAAAGCTGAATGTTGCACACATTATCAGTTGGAGGAGTCCCTGCTGTTTTGAGATGATTTCAAAAATGGAAAGCTGCCACTTGCTTTCAGACTCTCAAATGAGTTTAACTTTTCGGCTTTGAAAAATCTGAACCTGAGCGGCATTTGCTTTTCAGTCTTTATATTCAGATCATGAGACTCATTTGAAATTCGTAAATTTTTTGTTTTTGCTAAATTTATTTTTAATGTTTTGTTATAATTTTTTCATATGCAAACGTATTTTTGGTGGTTCGCATGTAGGCGGTTCCAGTTGAAAACTAATTTAGCTTCAGGCACAGCAATTTCGGATTTTTTGTTCTGTTAGCACATTTGTTTCTGTATGAATTGCATGGATTGCATTTCATATATGTAAGAGTGTATGTGATGTTTTTTGAATGAAGAGTTCATAACAAATTTATCCTGATTTTAATTTGGAATCAAAAGTGTGCCAACAAAAATTTTGTACGGAAATTGTTGTCATTGTCGTAATCAAGTGTTGATATTGTTTGTGATGATACCGTATGAAAAGTGAATAATAATTAAACTGAACAAAATAATTAATGGAAAAAAATTTACTTGTTTGATTTATATATTTATATATTTATATATAAATGTATACATATATATATATATATATATATATATAATAATATATATATAATATATATTATATATATTATATATATGTGTTTATATTGTAAATGTTTTTACTATTAAATTTTTGAATGATGATAGATTGTATCAAAAATATTAGTTTAGATAAAAAAATTATTATATTAGTGAGAGTAGCTGAAATATATGAAAAATATCTCGTTAGTATTGCATTCCGTTGTTGGCACCGCAATAAGTATTCTGTACTTCTTATGAAACTATATAAGAATCGACCATGACGTTTTTTTAACGGATTCAACACATATTCCCAACAGGTTCTGTGATATAAATAGAATTTTGATTTATTATGTTCTCTAAGAGTAGTTTTAGTCCTTGTATTATTTAATTTTATAACTAAATAATGCTTACATAACGATAGCATTACTAGTTTAAAAATTCTTTCCATTATTGGACTTCCAATTAATAACAAAGTTTTTAACTATTGCAGGATTCTTGCAGGTTTTGTATAAATGAGTTCATTATTCCATAATTAAGTACCATTTATTATTGTGAATCGTACCAATAAATATCCTTTACACCAACCTTACCATATAACTAGTGTTAAAGTTCACAATAACGCTATTAGAGGTTGTGAAGTTTCTGTACCGTTGAAGCACAGACAAGGCAAAGATTATGCGTTTATTCATTATGTCCATTCAAGACCAAACAACTCTTCTTCGTGTCTGACTACCATTGAACGTCCTTTTCTCTCTATTCACTTTTAATCAAAAAAACACAAAACTTTGTAAATATAAAATCAAAAAATTGTACTTCACTGATTGTCCTTTCGTCTAGATGTAGCAAAACTATGGAGGCACAAGATCGCAAATCGCCACCAAATAAATCACAAAAGCACCCGAACTAACAATATGAATAGAAAATATAGCAACAATTTCTATACTATATCACACACCTTCTCATATACACACATTTAATAACTCTATTTTATGTTTGGAACACTTAAGATCATTGTGTTATACACAGCTTTTGTTTCTTTAATTGTTCTACAATTCAAAGCTTATTGTGCTTTTAGCTGGCTACTTGAGCTGGTTACCATGAAATCAAAGAGAGTCATTTTTTTGTTCTGCATTCGTAATCTGTATATTATTTGTCTGAGGTTGAAGGCACATCAGCATTTCATATATGAATGATTTTATTGTTTCAAAATAATAATAATAAGTAAGAATAAGTACCAATCATTATTGCGAATTGAACCGGTGAATAGTTTTTACACCAACCATATACCATTTAATTAACGATATTCCAGTTCACAATAACGCTGTTGCAATTCCTTTATTAATAAAGTCTATAGTTTTTGACCCAAAAAATATGAATATTATTTAACAAGTCAGTGACTACACAAATAGGAAAATTTTATATATACCTGCTTTTCATTTAACAATATCAGTTACAATAGCATTCTAGCAGGCTTCATACAAAAAACATTATTATTTCATGGTGAATATTATTTATTATTGTGAATTAAGCTGATTACTAGTCTATACATCACTCACATCATAGGAATAAGACGAAGTTCACAATAGCGCTATTACAAGTTTAGACACTGCTCGGACGGTAGTATAATAATGTGGTAGTAATATAAGTTTAATGATATTATTCAAATAAAAGCGATATTATTGTGTACTGACATTTGCTCAGCAATTTTCATACATAGTCAATAGATTGCTGGATGTTTGAAAACAATTTCTTATTCATTCACATTTACTATTGCGAATTTCTGGTTTAAAGATGTACTATTTGGTTCAAGAGAATAATTTTTTTGTTTATGCTTCTATGAGTTTTTATTAATAATAATGGGTTTATGAACAAACTAAATTGTTTGTTATTTTAACAATTTGCTGAATCAGTTTTACAAACTGTTATACACGGCATTAAAAATAATTTTTTTACTTTATATTATTTATAAGTTATTAATGATATAAATAAATTAAAATAATTTAAAGAGAACATATTATAATTAGCATAGGTTAAATAAAGTATATGTTAATGAACGAAAAGAGATTCACTAATCCAATTCAACACCTTCACCATTTATTTGTATGGTGATGCTTGTTGAATTTGGATTGCCTCCTGCGTCAGCAGTAGTTGCTTCAGCATTTGTTGCTTCTCTTGGGTTAAGCTCCTTGAGTGATATAACACTGTGACGATGTGATTCACGTTTGTTTGCTGCAGCAGTCAGTAATTCCTTCTGACGTTGCTTTGACTGTGCAAAAGCAGAATCAGTGAGTTGTCGCAAAATCTCACTATTACGTCTGCTTCGTGCTGTGGATGCTGTAGCTATGGTCAGTTGTTGTTGTTTCTGTTCCTGCTGTTGTTGGCGTTGCAATAAAAATTCTTTACGTCCTATGAAACCATTTGAGAAACGACCATCTGCAGAACGGGAACGACGCTTTTTAACGGATTCTGCACGTAAACCTAGCAGATTCTGTAAAATATATACATGTTGTTTATAGCATATATCAAAAAAAAAAAACACTGCAAGCACTAACCTCTCGCATATCACTCTGTTCACCGTTTTTTTGTATATAACGCAAACCATGTTGCTGGTCTAGTTTATTCGACATTTGGAACATCCAATCTTTAGCTTGAGCCAAAGACAAAGAAGACTGTGAACGTTCGGGCATACGTGCAAGAAAGAGTGACTCACGTGTTGCGCTGGCTGCACTGGTATCCACAACAAAGAACCGTGGAAAATCTAGAACAAATTCGCGACTACGAATGAGATCCGAAAGTGCAGCAGATGGTGTTTGACCACCGGTTGCACCATTGGCATTTCCAGTGCCTGTAGTGTTATTTGTTGAACGATCTGGTTCGTATTCCAAAATACTCTCTTCACTGCCCAAAAACTGTTATTAAGATTAAGATTAAGTTGATTAATATTGTTATTAATTTTTTTGTTTGAGTATGATTTGTGTAATCTTCGGGAGTTGTAAAAGCAGTTAATTTAAAGCAAACAAGCACTGAAGCAGGTCCTTTGTTTTATTCTAAATATTAAATTAAATATAATATATATCATTTGAAGCTTTAGCATTTACTGAGGGGAAAAACGAGGGGAAAACAATTTTTAACTTTTAACTTTCAAAATTCAAAATTTATTTTATATTTAATATTTTTTTCTTTTTTATTTTTAATCTTAAGTCAACACGAATATGAGTATGAATATTTTGAACTCCAGCAAAATAAAACAAAATTGTATCTTTAACTATTTTTGTAGTAGAGAACAGTGGGTAGCAACTATATAATTATGTATCTGCGTTTTATTTATTGAATTTTATAAATTTTAATTTATGTAATATTTTGTATAAATTTTTTTATTGTTAACTACGGAAAAAGCAGTTTCATATTAACTCAATGTCAACTACACGTAAATTTCTTATTTTATCTAAGTTGATGTCTTTCAATGTTTGCTTCGCAGTTATATTTTTGTTTAATTTTTTTTATTAATTATACTAAATGTGCGTTTAGTTGTTGAATTTTGGAAGTTCACTTATCAAATTACTGCAATTAATTTAATCTTAAGTCATGTTCACTTTTATCTTAATACTAAAATTTCTTTATTTTGCGAGTGTTTCATGAACTACTTTGATCCCAATTTATCATAATTTCTTTTATTATCTCTTTAATTATAATTACATATATTATACATACACATATATTATATATATATTTTATACATATTATATATTAATATATTGTATATTTATTATATTTAAATGGGCACGAAAAAAAACGAAAATGATTTAGAAAAAATTCAAAATGTCAATTTTAATTTTAAACATGTTCGCTTTTAAATATTTTAGATCTGCCCTCGTATACAAATTTTAATATTTATATTAGTGAACATGCTTAGATTATTTATTAAAATGCTATTTTTAATTTACAGACAATTTATATTATTGAATTTATAATATAATTATTTGGCACCTTTAATTTTGATTGCTTTTCCTTTTATAAAATTTTATTATAGTTATTTATTATATTTTTGAAATGTGTTAATTTAAGGAAATTACTAATAACAAAAAAAAACAAAAATGAATAATTAATAAAAATAATATTATAATATGTATATATTTTAGGGAACCCAATGAAGTGAATTTGTAGATTTAAAATATAATTATGAATATATGGACATAGTCAGCTGGGCTTTATGGGTTAATCATCCTACTCTTAAAAATGTCAGAATTAATATTTCATGAGGAAAACTAAGGCCGCTCCTCCCCTTAAATGTGGTTGATCGATATGTAATGTTCTGGTAGTTCATGTAATGTCTTTATTTTTTCTTTCGTTTATATATTTTAAAATATTAGTTATTGATCATAATTAATATAGATCATAACTAAATAGTGATCATCTTCACTATTTTTTTTATATATTATGTATTATAATAACTTATTTTTCGATTATAAGTGGCTAATGGAACTATCTTCTGAAATTAAAGACCGAAAATCGTGTGCTTCGGTAAAAGAAGGTTCCATTTAGTACAAAGATGTTGTTGGAAAAATGTTGCTTTTTATGTTCTAAGCGTCTATTTAAAAACATGCGTGTAAAATAAATTCCATAAAAAAATAAAAGGAGAATATTGCTAGGTATATAGGTAAAGTAAAAGGAGTCCGATCTTCTTCCTACAAGACTTGTACCTATACTGCTATGAATGTTCTAAAACCATTAACACGAGGAAAGTTAAGTGTGGTTATAAAATTTCTGCTTTATAAGCAAATAATTAGATATAAACTATCTTATATGACTGTGTTACTCATGGCAATGCTGCTCCATCCACTATCAAAAAACATCAAACTAATCAGATAAGCACAACATCGATAAACGTGAGACTTGCTGGCCGAAAACGTTTTATGCGGAATAATTTAGTTCGTCGCAGGGATTATAAAATAATCACAAGCCATTATTGAATTGCATTCCATGCATTTAATATCCGACTCAATTATAAAGACAACACTGTTGTGTTGGCAACACTCATGATTAAATGTATCTATTGGTCAATAGTTTTTGAAGGTTTTATTTATATCGTTCGAATTGCTTCAAATTTTTGAAATCTTTTTATAATATGTATATATTTTTTTAATATTATTTCAGTTGTTTTAGTGTTTTCTCTATGACTGCCCCTAGATTGAAAATAATAATAAAATAAAAATTTGATATATAAATTAAAAAGTAAGATTTTAAAAAAATTTCTATTAACCTTTGGAAAAAATAATACGAAACCAGGCCATTAGTAGAAAGTAATGATAAATATAAATAAAAAAGGGAAGAAAGTTTATCAAAAAAGAAATGTAATCAAACAATCTTGGAAAAATAGAGTTGAACACTTTCTAGTACACCAAGAAGTTCTTGGTTATATTGCTAAAAGAAATAAAGAATTTTAACTACGAAATATGTCCACATACTATACTGAACAAATCGATTGAACACTAAGAAGAGCTGTTGAGCTATGAGAAGGTGGAACTCAGAATGAGATTTTAATTCTTAAATGATAAGCTCTAAATAAGTATGCAGAATTTGTCTCTCCTTAAAACTAGAAAACCGTCCATTATTAACTTTTCAAACTAACGAAAACTGCTAGTGTAATAGAATAAAGACATCAAATATCGAATACGTAAAAGGAAGGGCATATCACTACGCTGCGTCATAAAGACAAACATTCCGCTGGGGATAACTTCTTTTGTCCCCAAAAGTTCTAAAACGAATGGAGGTCTTATTAATATTGTACATCCCTTGTTGACTTCAGCTATTTTCGATGATGCATAATTGAACTAAACTTAAATTAAAGAGTAATGAAGGCATGTTTTAAAATCTGCCATAGATTCTGCACTATCTAACGAAGAGTAAGTTTATCATAAACATCCAAAAAGAAACAATATATAGTAAAACATTCACAACACTAGTAATAATGGTATTTAACTGATATTGGAGGCATCAAAAGCTTCGAATGAAAAATTTTTTAGAAAGGATTTGGGTCAGTTGCAGATTCTGATGGTTGAATAGAGTAGTGAAATAATAATGCACTTTACATCATATTGAGA